TACATACATACATACATACGCGCAAACACAGATATACAGATACACATACTTCTTTATTATTTTGTATACACAGCTTGCAGCTCTTCCGTCAAAACCCTTGTAGCATGCACCTGTCTTAAATGCAGTCTCACCCGTCCAGTGCAGCCCGAGCCCAGCGAGGTCCCCCCTCCAGGAGCTCCAAGAGCAGGTTCGGTGCGCACAGTTTTTGGCCGTGAGTCAGTGGCGACTTAAAACTGCAATTCCTTGGGTGCTTGCAGACTCTTAACTCACATTGCGTCTGCTGTGTGGGCTTCTAGTCTCCTGCGTGGAGCGCGCGCTTGCGCGCACGCGTGTGCTTGCTTCCTTCACTCGTTGCTGAATGTGGGTTTTCTCCTGTCGCAGTCCGTTTCTTTGCTCAGTGGTTCTGTGATTTCGCCCTGTGTCAGGTCTCTGCTCTCGAGGCAGCGGTGGCAGAGCTGAGGCGGCCTGCGACCGCAGAGGTGCGACAGGTGGGCCCACGTCTCGCCTCAAGAGCTACCCCGAAGCTGGCGCCTCGTAGACCTGAAGTTTTTCGAGGATCCGGACTCCGGCGATCCCATGGCGCAGCCAGAAACCGGGGCTGCATCTGTGGCACCAGCATCGCAGCTAGAGGCGATTTGATCGTTGAAATCTGTGCAGGGTTAAGACGGTTGAGATGATTCGGGCGGGTGATAGAAGGACGGGAGAAGGTTCAGGCCCGTCAAGGGCAATGCCATGGTGTCGATTAGGTGGGTGCTGCGTTCAGGATGTTGAAACAGATTAGTGTGGCTGAAGGAGAAGAGCAATGCAAGAGTAAGAGGTTGAGGAGAGCCGTGCATATCTTTGATGAAGCATCCCTTTCTCGGATGATTCCTTGCCTGCAGTGCAGGTGCGCATGGGAAGCATGGAGGCCAAGGCTTCGGAAGAATAAAGGATGAGAGACTGCATGGCATGATAGGGTGCCGGAGAGTTCAGAACGATGTCCAACACCCGCATGGCAGCGTAAGACTGCGAAGGATTGTCCCCCCCGCACGCCCAGAGCAGCCAGTAACTAGTAGCGTTTTTGCATCGGGTATGTCTGGTGAATGCACGATGCAGGTGCGGGACTTAGCTGCTGCAGTGGAGACCCTGTCAGACAGCTTGGCCATTCTGGAGGGACCCCCTGCGCCAGGGGAGGCTCCCACGATTCCACGGCCGGCGTCCAGGTCCGCAGAGATTTTCGGGCGCTTGGACTCTCTGGAGGCACGCGTGGCGGCCTTGGAGCAGCGCAAAGGCGGCAGCAAAGCCGAAGGCGAGGGCGGCTTGGGTGTCGCTCCGACGGAGCCGACGGAAGCGGGGAGGACGGCCAGTCCCGCAGAAGCTGAGGCCGAAGTCCGCGGGCTTGCGACGGGGCCTGAAGCTGAGGAAAGCGAGCGCGAGCGCTTTGCGCCAGAAGTGCCGGAGCTCACCGGCGAGGAACAGGCAACTGGATGCCTTGAGTGGAATGGGGAACCTGGAGACTGGGACGAGAAACTCACATTCTTGGGAGACCATGTGCAGGCTGCCACACCAGAGCAAGCAGAGCTGCTCAGTGGAATTGTCAAAGATGTGAAGTATTGTTTGAAGAGGTGCGAGCTCCTGTTCCAGCTTCCTGAGATCAAGGGATTCATCAAGCGTTTCCAGGCATCCCTCCATGTCAACGCCGTCCTGCAAGATCGTTGGCTCGGCCCGGGTGGCCGCAGCCGAGGGTTTTTCGACGATGAAGATCTCTTCGAGGGCTCCTCCCGGATACGGCCCTCGACCTCCGCAGTCGACCTGTCCCTTTCCAACCTCTCCACGGACCCGATCACCCGGGTGCGCCGGAACGAGGCTCCCAACAAGCGTCCCTTCCGCACGGTGACGGACTGGGCACGGCCCCACACGCCCCTGACAGTGGACCCAGTGCTGAAGACCTCCACCCCAAGCCTGCCAGACATACTTCCACCTAAATAGGGCTCCAAGAAAACGTCGCCGTCTAGCTAGATTAGATTCGATCCAAAGTCTATACACCGCAGAGTGACATCCTGCTAAGCGACAAGTATCGTATCTTTCTGGAGTCCTACACAGATGCGAAGAATCAGGTACCGTGCCATGGGCACTGCTAGCTCAGGTCCCGGCCCCACAAAAGTGGTCAGCCAGGCAATCTGAAGATGTAGCTAGGTAGGTACCCGAAGCTGGGAACTATCGACTCGACATCTCAATCCTTCGTTCTTTCGCCACAGATTTTTGCATGCGCTTCCCAGCTCGGCCGTTTCACCTCGTGCCTGGCACTTCGCACAGAAGCACGGAAGCAAAGTCCATGATCTGGCAGGCAAAACCCTGTAGGCCTCTAGGACAGTAGGTAGGAAGATCGGAAGAACTGTAGGCCGTAGGCAGGTAGAAGGTATCTAGCAGGGATCAGCTTCAGCGTGACTGCCGTGGCACCCTGAGAAAAGAGCCGCGCTGCTCTGAACCATCTGAACCCTGTTGGGATGCAGTGGGTGTGGTTTTTCATCCTGTCCCTTTATAGACTGCTGGGAGTCGACACAGAGATGTGGCCAAGGCGCTGCACGAGCCAACTGCTCTCCAGGCCTTGCTCTCCTGACTTCGGAGGGTTCTGGTTCTCCCAAAGCCACGCCCATGGAAAGGCCGAGCGAGCCGTGGGTGTCTGCTTTCCAAATGGCAGGGAGGCGCATTGGTGTGAGGACCATATATACACTGGGCTCATCTTGTCTGGTGCTTAGGTGGCGACGGTGAGAGAGCGTTGGCAAGTCAAACGCAATCGGCTTCGCTGTTCGGTGCTGCAGAAGCAGGTGAAGCTCTCGTTCCGGCAAGATGCAGCACTGGCGCAGGGAGGATCCGATCGCGTCACAGCCCTTTATAGACGCCAAGCAGTATCAGCTTGATTGGGACAGGGCAATTCGTGGGTCGGAGCATTTGCATTTTTCTTCACGGCTTGCTGCAGGACTGCTTTGGAGCAGCTTTGCCCGCAAGCAGAATCGACATAGTGCTGAGTGAGCCTTCAATGACGCAACAGTTAGCTCCGGAATCTTGCAGTATCTTGCGTAAGTCCTCAACCGGCAATCGGGAGTCCGAAAGCTAGGCCTCAAACACAAAATCAAACCCTAATTTAGGCCTCGCATGGCCTCGCCGAATTGTCGCCGCACAATGACACTATCGAACTCAGTTGTGGCATTTGCCATTTGCAGCATTGTCTGCATATTTCCGTACTGACCCTTCAACTCTTGCACGAGTTCTTATTGCCGGCCACAAGGCCAGTGCAGCCGCACGGTCTGTCATGAGCTGCCTCGTGTGGGAGCGGGCGAGACGGGAGAAGAGAGATAGAGAGAGAGAGAGAGACTGAAGTTGATGATTTTAACCCCCAAGCAAAGCAAAGATTGAAGTTCATCAGTGTGGTATGAAGAACACTCACATGAGAAATCTCCCGTGATTCTGTCTGACACGGCCATAGTCTTAAAGGAACCCGACATGCCTGCGCAGATCAATTTGCTGTATGTTCCCGGATGTACATATGCGTTCATATATAAAAATCGATTCAAGCAGACGCACATGTCGGTGCTCGACATCCCCCTCGCCACTCACCCACACCCACGCACACGCGCACACCCGCGCACACACGCACAGTACTTGCGCGTATGCACATGCACACAACAGACAGACACAGAGACAGAGAGACAGAGACAGACAGAGAGAGGGGACATCGAGTTCAGGTGTCACACTCAACCAGACTCAGACACAGGCGCAGCGCAGCGCGCAGGGAGGGAGGGCTCTCTCACCCCACTTCCCAAACGCCCCGCAAGAGCAAGCACACAGACAGAGACAGAGACACAGACAGACAGACACACAGACACACAGACACACAGACACACAGACAGACAGACACACAGACAGACAGACAGACAGACAGACAGACAGACAGACTGCGAAAGTACACAGGTACAAGATGAGCACCAAA